GAGGAGGAGGAGGGAAGGAAGAGAGAAGAGGAGGAGGGCTCCGGAGAAGGGCAGGCACGGAGGGAAGCGGGGCCGGAGGCGCCAGCTGCTAGTGAACAAAAGGAGGCCCCTCGCCGCCGCCGAGCCAGCTGCTCCGAGCGCGGGGTCTCCCGGGCCCGCGCCCCTCCCCGCTCCCGGCAACAGCCCCCCCGGGTCCCCCCGCTCGCCCCCCCGGTCCCCACGCACCGGCCCCGGTCCCACGCGGCGGGGGCAGCTCCCAACACACACGGACACACGCCGCGGCTCCTTTCCCCGCCTCCCTCCTCCTTCCTTCCATCCCCGCCCGGCCCCGCCGGAACCGGGAAGCCCCGTGATTGATGGCAGCGCTTTAATAGCGTGGTCAGCGAGAAAGGCATCTGCAGCCGGCGGAGCAGGCAGGAGGGCAGCAGCAGGAGGAGGAGGGAGGCGAAGCATCTCCCCCGGGGCTCTCGTGCGCTCCCAGCCCGCGGTTGCTGCAGGAATATCAATGGCCCGGCCTTCCCCGAGCACGCACGGCACGGCACGGGGGGGAAATTGCGGCTCGAACGGGTGGGCCGGGGGATCCCAACACGGCCCAGGTGGGGAAGGGGGGGATGCCCGGCCAGTGCCACGGTCAGAGACACTTCAGGAGGGGGGTTTTGTTGCAGCGCGCTCAATTAGTAAGCCATTTTGTTTAAAATCCCTTCCTACCATGTCTTCCTTCCTTCCCCCCCCCCCCCTTTGAGACAGAAATTCATCTGCTCGGCAGAACGCGTTCCTTTTAATTGTGTTTAATTGGGGTTTTTTAAATAATGACTATTTATCTCACTGTGCGTCTCCACGCAGACCTGGAACTCATCTGAGCCTCACAATGTCTTGCTCTGTTCTTCACCACCACAACCATGACCTTTCAGCTGCTGGTACCGACTTAATTTTAGAGCAAAGCTTTGCTATTTCCCTTGCAGAATAACACGCAGAACAAGTCATCTATGTAATCCATTACCTCGGGGCAACGTACACTTTATCCCTGCCGAGCAAATCCATTTCCTAGGCGTGCAGTAATATTTTACCTATAAAATAAATACGGCAGTACACCTTCCCAGAGCTGGCTTTACAAAGGCCAAGTTAAAAAAAATTAAATAAAAATTTAGAAAAAATAGTAATAATAATAATAATAATAATAATAATCATTAAGGTTCACAGACCCAGTTAATTAGAGCGACACCCTCAAGTCCTGCCTGCCAAGTTGATCTTTCCAGATGCTGGTAATTATTTGTAGTTGTGTTTTCCCCTCTATTTATCCACACAGATTTCTACCATGTCTCATACCATAACCCAGGAGTCCTTCAGGAGACAAAGACCCAACTTTGAAATTTATTCTGCGCTTTCTAGAAATAGCTCCCTAAAACCACAAGCCCCAGCTGAAGGAGCTGATTAATTCTAATGCCCTTGCCACATCACAGGACTGCTCTGATCAATACAAATTGAAGCTGGTGTATGGCACGAGCTCTGCTCCTGCAATATTCATGGTACAACAGCTCCCGAGCTGGAGCCTGTCTTTGCCAGACCTGGTTCAAAACAAGCTTTGTAACCAAGTAGCCGTGTGAGAGCTCCAAACCTGCCAGAGCTGAAATTCAATCCTCCAGTCAGCACAAAGAAAACCACATTGCATTTATCCTCACTCTTCAATTTTCTAATCAAATGTGGCCCAACACCTGGCAAATCGTGGAAGGGAACTTGCTGCTCCAGTGTGTATTTAAATCAGCGTTTACTCCTAATGACTTCCAAAAGAGCTTTCCAGCAGTAAGTTAATTCAGGCCAGGTTCCATCAGTTGAAAAATACCCTGCTTGACGGTACTTGTTCAAAACCACCTCATCCCTTTAAGGCAGATGACCCAGCCAGCTTGGACCACAAATACTTAAAGTCAGAATATATTGGAAAAACGCACTCAAATAATAATAATAATGATAATTTTAAAAGGCACAGAATTGTTTGTATCCCAGTAGGATGGAAGTTGTTCAAGCAGTGCAGGGAACAGCATCCAGCAGTCTGAGCACAGCAACAGAACTGGAGACTATTCCTGAATCTCAGACACTGTCTTGCAGATCCAAGACAAACCAACTTCCGAATTCAGCGGTGTGGGAGACAGCAGTGAAATCATCCCAGGCCCCATCTGCTTGTACACAGCACACTGGAGATCCTTCAATGAACAGAAGAGCCACAGCATTCAATCACCAACATCAGAGACAACTCAACTCTCACTAATTGGCTTTCCTGTGAGATATGGAGATCTGCCCCCATTTCAGAGACTGAAAGGGAAAACATGCACAGAGTACAGCCTCCAGCTCCATTTTGCAACAGGGACTTTTCAGCTTGCCTTTTGGAAATGGATCACAAAAGATCTTTCCTTGGCCGTGAAATGCACCTTTGCTGGTTCACAGCATCATAAACTCCAACAGCTTTTCTTTTAATATCACTTCTGGAAGCCTGATGTCTGAAAAAGGGGGAGGGGGAGGAAATGTGAGTTACACATACACAAAGCCCAACAAGACAGTGCAAAATCTACCTTCACATGGGTCAGGAGAGAATGAGAGTTTGAGTGGAGTTGGAACAAGTGCCCCCAGCCCTCACAGAACACGCTGTTGTGCTCGGTCCGGTGTGCAACAGTTATCTGGTGTTACACAATGAACTGAAGCTCAATTCCACCGCCTGCAAAAATCCATCCCAGCTTTCCTGGCAGCCTCCATTTATCAAAACAAGCCTGTCATGTCGAGTACCATTAACAGATAATGAACTGAGACAAGGGATGCAGTTACAAGCAAAGCACTCCGCATGCTGCAGGCCCCCAGCACACAGCCAAGGGAGCCGATATTTACTATAAACACCGTAATTAAATAGAACACCTAGTTGAAGAAACATTAAGGTCGTGACAATAAACAACAGAAGCTGGAAATCTGAAAAAAAAAATTAAAAAAAAATAAAAAAATAATAAAAAAAATAAGGCTTTGACTTGCTGTCAGTAATTCCTGACATTGCTTAAAGGCATCTACACACACACACAGAGCTCAGCACACCTTCCCTGCCTGCTGCTGGAATCTGGGAAGCACCTGTTTGTGTTTTCAGCGCTTTCCCAGGATCCTGGAGCACTTTGTCTCCCCTGCCCACGCAGCCCAGGAAAGACTGAGCGCCGAGAAGTGACAGACAGCGAGTGTTCAAAGGGCCGCGGAGACGCTGCTGCTTTCGAGACACACGGCTCACAACAGACGCGAGTAACTCAGAACCCCGCCGTGCTCCAGGAATATTAAACGCGGACACGCAAACTTGGAGGGATATTAAATAAAGAGGTAAAGCCCTGCGAGCCCCGGGATCCATCGATCAGCGGCGTTCCCCGCCCCTCCTGACAGGATTAGCCATCAGGCACACATAAACATCTCACCCGCTAGAAAAACTGCTCCAGAGGAGCCGTTTCGGGTCTCCCAGGTACCCACACACTTGAAACACAAACTAACCGTAAACAGGCTTAATGAGATTATACAGATTAAATGGGTACATTAACTTTTTTTTTCTTTCAGGAGACACCCACGACAAAGAGGTCCCACAAACGCTCAAAAGCAGCTCCCTCTGACTCTGAGTTCACTCATCCAGTGGGTTCTGTTAAAAAGCAGGTTGGAGTTGCACAAATTGAACAAAAAGAAGCCTTGAACTACTTTTAAGAACGCATGGAGATGTGAACGTGACAAGTGTTTTCTAAAAGCTCGTACAACACAACTTCCCAGCTCAGGCAAGCACTGAGTCTGACACACCAGCCCCCCGCTAAGCTGAACCTATTTTTAAAAGGGGATTTAACACTGTCTTCAGAGCTCCACGTAAATCAAGCCCTCCCCTCGGATTTGGCCTTGGATAAGGGGAGGAAGAGGAAGGGAGCAGGTTCATGGAGAACAAGCTGACAGCTTAATATTGCCACAACCCTGTTTTTCTTGCGTGTCATTCGAGTTTCCCTTTCCCTGTCAGCGCACACGTTCCCGGCCGGAACGCCGGTGATTCCTCCAGCCAAACAAAACCAACCCCGAAGCAGAGGGGCAGTTCAAACCCAGAATTAGCTGGAGAATTCCAGAGGCCAGCGGTCACCTGGAGGTTTCTCAGCAGAGCAGGGGAGGTTTCTCAGCAGGAAAGGTCACCCCCGGCCGCTCGCTGCAGAGATTTGTTACCCGGTCCTGTTTGGTTTCAACTCCCCATCAAAGCATCTGTCTAAACACAAAACCTTTGGTCAGGTTAGAGGTGAGGTTTCTATTCCTCTGTAAATAATGCACTGTTTTATTGCTGCAAGCACAGCTGAGAGGAACTGATACTCGGCTCTTGACAGGACAGTTGCTGCTGTCTGCACACGAACGGCTTCAAACCCGCTCCGAGCAGGAAAGGTCTTGTCTGTGCTTGTAGATCTGGGAGCACGTGGGAGAGACCCAACAGGAGAGCTGCTCTGAGCTCCAGGCAGCCACAGCACTGACCCAGCTACCACTTGCCCCACAGTTACACCAGGGTGCTTTTCCACACTCCTGGAATGTAAGCTGGGAGAGGAAACTCGGAGCAGTGTTGTTATTGCCTCGACACAATCAAAAGGCCATTTGGTGCTCTAATCCCTGCCTGAGGAGGCTGTAAACTCTGCACACAGTTAAACAGCCCTGGCTGCTTCCTCTGCCCCACATCTACATACTCAGCAGTTCTTAAAACCAGCATGGGAAGGGTTATTTTAAATTACAGTAGAACTGCTGAAATTTGGATGAACCTCTCTCAAATCTCCACCCTTTACAGACCTTTAAGAGGTTTGCCTTTTTTTTGTTGGGTTAGACTGTGTTTTGTAGGGTTTTTTGGTTTTGGTTGGGGTGAGGGTTCCCCCCCCAGGCCTCTGGTTATGCAGCATTTAACCTGGAGCCTGCAAAACCAAATTACTGACACTATCACACATTTTATGGTTCAAGAACTCTGACTCTTTTCCTGTACTTACCTGCTGTTCAGGTTTATATTCCAGATGACCTCTGCTCAAGCTGTAACTCCTCACAGGTCACTGTTAAATTCTAGCACCACATCAATACCCTGGGGAAGGAAACCCCTGCCAAGCACAGAAAAGTCTGAGCAACTTCAGCCTCTTTTTAACGACCCTGAGGCCCAAGAATTGCAGACAACGACCTTCTGTAACTGTCACCAGCAACTGCCACCAACTGCCCCTTTGCCAGCCCTGCAAGGTAACACCTTGGTACCAAACTCCAACTGGCAAGAGGGGCACAAGGCTGGAGCAACACACAAATGCAGACAAAAAAATCCCCTAAAGAAATAAAAAAGTGTATCACTCCCCAGACCTGCGCACTGGTGGCACTTGGTGCTGGTTAAAAAAACAGGTAAAAACCACAAATTTGGCTCAAACCTGTGACAGAGCCAAAAAACAGACTGTTGGTACAGTCAGGGCATCACTCAGCTGAAGAATGGGAATAGGGAATTCCGGGATAAAGGGCTGCACAGCTCCCTTCTGGGTGTCTTTGGGAGGAATCTGGTGGGTTATTTTTGTACAGTCTTGGATGCACACAGCGTTTCTGTCACAGTAGGGATGAAAAAACAAGAGTGGCTCCCCCAGGGAGCTGTGAGGACTAAGGCAATTCACATGCTAACACGGGAAAAAAGCAGGGTTTTACAGGAAGGCCTAGCTAAGGAAGTGCTGGGGAAAACAAACAAACAAACAAACCACTGGAAACCCTCAACCAACCAAGCACAACCCAAAAAGAAACAGCTCAGAGTTGCTCCCACAATTAAATGAGTGTTCACAGCTCCCTGTTCTCCCCCTCCAAAGGCTGGAGACTCGATTGCAGCAGCTCCAGAGCCCCCTGGGCCCAACAAAAGGCCAAGGAAAAACACACCTGAGGCAGAGGAGGGACAGGGCAGGGTTAAAACTTCATTGGAGGGCAATGGGCTGAGGGAGCTGCACCTCAAAGAGGGCAAAATTCAAGGAAGAGAGAAGGGTGAGGGAAAGAACACAAAAAAAGATAAACAAGCTGAGGAATGCAGGAGATTTTAAAATAAAAGCTGTTATGTGCATAGGTATGAGAGGATGGGTGTGAAACTCAGCTGGGATGTAACCAAGTGAGACAAGTGGCTCAAAACCAGGTGCAGCCTCAGAGCTGGAAATCAAAACAAACCAGGCAAGGCAAATTTAAGCAAAAAAATTACACTTGCTCATCACAGAAATCACTTTTCTTTCTCTGATATTTCCCTCCTGGTTCGTTTCTTCTCCTCTGTAGGGACCAACACTGAAATTCAAAAATGATTTTGTGGAAAATCCCTGCCCTGGGAACCTCCAAATTACAGAATGGTAACCTGCAAGCCAAGAATATTAAAACAAAATCCAGTGTGTCTGCCAGATTTTGTGATACTTAGGGCAAGACATCAACCTGTTTGGCAGCTTCTTGAATTCAACACAAAAGAATGCACAGAAGTTATTTTAGAAGGACAAGGGGGGAAAAAAATCCAAATATTTGTCAAGAAAAGAAGTCATATTTCAAAGGGAAAATTTACATACTGGAAAATCTAATACATGCATTAAAAAGCAAACAGGAAGCTATTTGTTCTCAGCTGTATATATAAAAAAAGCAAACAAAATAAAACCCTCAATAGTTTCAATATGTGTGGGAGGGGTAAAGCTAAAGAAAAGGAGGGAAGGAAGAACTAAGCAAATGCATCTTTTTCCAACTCTATCAAAGCAACTGTAAAACAATGGAAGTTTGCCTGTTTAAACTAAAACTCTGGGAATGGAAAACTCGATACCCCCATCAAGAGCCTGTGGCCTGTGTTTAAACTATTATAACATAAAGCATGTTGGGACTCCCAGCTAAAGGAAATGACTCCCAAATGCTCCCCTTGCTCTGGAAGGAAGGTTGTGAGCCAGATCCTTTACCAGGAGGTTTTTCTCCACACACAGATTGAACTAACAGAGCTGTGGAATTTGCAGTGGATTTAGGGCTTTCCATTGGAATCACAGAGGGGATGGGAATGGTGACTCCAGCTCGGTTTTTTGGGGCAGTAATCACTCAGCACCTTCAAAGGCCTCTGAAAATTCAATAGGCTTTTTTTTTTTTCCTCCCTCCCTAAGTGACAACAACCACAGGATGTGACCATACCTATAATAATCTCTCCCTCCAGACAGGGAGATAAGCTCTAAAAACAGGAAGTTTCTACTCTTAATCTTGAAGAAATGTTAACAGTTTAAAACCACACGACCCCGGTTCAGTTACAAGGGGAAGAAATTCTTGGCTTCCCAAAACTATAGGACGAGATACCCCCAAAAACATGGAATAATGTGAAGGTTCTCAGTTTATTCCTCTTCTCTTTTCACCCCTACAGATTCATAAGAGTAAGCAAACGAGACAGCTGCCCTCTCACAGGAAAGAAATAGTGGTTTCTTTTAAAAAAATGGGTATTTTTCCATATTTCTTAAGAGCCTTAAAAAAAAATAAAGCAGGGCAAGAATTGCACCCAAGCACTGGGGGGTATCTGCCTTGGCCATGCTGCAGCCAATTACTTAAATATAACTTTAATCCTTCTGAGAAAGGTCTCTTTACACTTTGCAAGACTTGATAGAGAGATCAATTCAGAACTGTGCTTAAACCCTTAAATCACACGAATTATCTGAGCAGTTTGCTGGACTCTGCTTATTCTGAGTTGCTGTTTTCAGGCAGACAGGGATTCACCGGTGCACATTTTCACACAGCAGCGAGTCTTCAACCACCTACACAGGGACTTTTAGTCACCTGAAAGGAAGCAGCCGATTTTTGATAGCTGTTATCAACCAATTAACAGCCACAAAAGCCTTTCAGAGCGAGTTTCACCACGTTTCTCACGCTGCAGATTGAGGAGGTGGCAACAGTTAAACACGGCTTCCACCAACCCATCAAACAACTCTCTCGAAAGAAAAGGATCCCGCTGTATATTTTAACATAAATCAGTGCTGCTTGTCGATACAATGCACGTTTTCCTGTCGGTGTTTAACATAAAACAACATAAAATCACACCAAGGGCTTAAAAATCCCACTCACTGTATCCTGACTCTGAACTTCCTTGAGAATCCTCAAGCAGAACACACACTGGTTTTATCTACATTCCTGTTGGTTTCATGTGTTATGCAGCTACAGGAACAGGGAAAATTAGTATTTTTAGGAAGGCTACACCTGCAACACACCAGCTTTTCCCTTCCACTGCTCCTTCAGTGGCCTGCTAAGAGAATTCAGCATAAAAGGCATCCCAGATCTTCTGTTTAGTTGTCTTTTCTTGCAATCCCCACAAAATAAGACAGAAAAACTTAAAAGAGAAAATCCCCATCAGAACTGAGCAGCCAAATAATTGCAAGGCATCACAGCAATAAGGTTATGGGAGAGGTATCCATGGAATGTCTTGAAAGCACTTGCAGAAAACTGTAAAATGCCAGAGTACCACCCCCTGCCATCCTAAATCCGTGTCCCAGGCATTGTGTCACATCTCTGGTGGAATAACTGCCTGCAGGTTGCAAATGGAGACCTGAAACACAGCCACAAAGGGACAATTCCATCAAAAAACATTCATTTAAGGAAGTATTTATACGTCCTACATTAAATTTACAGGAGAAGCAAACACCCCTGGACGAAAGGAACTCAGGAGTTTGGGAGGACGTGAGGCAAGTTTCCAGTGTCCCAACAAAACCAGCCTGAAAGCCACTGCAGAGAGACAGAAAAATCCTCTTTCAACAGAAAGCAAACTGTGCCCAGTTGCCAGGGAGGTGACAGGGCCCAGCTGCAGCATTGCCACCTAGTGTCAGCCTCCAAAAAACGCTGCAAAAGCCACCAAAACGCCGGGAACTCAAGTCAAGTCAGGAAGCCCAAGAAGAGACTTGACTTTGCAGCTGAAAATTTCAAGTTTTCAGTTTTCCCCCCCAAGTGCTGCCAAGGGCCCAGCCGAGGGCAGGGAGGGCAAACCCAGACAGCACCAAGTTGAGCAACATCCCAGAAGCTCTTTGCTGTGCTTGGCTCCCCCTCCAGCTGATAAATCATCTCATTAACCAGAACGTGAACTAACTAACAACAGAACCAGTGTGCAAAGTGCTCAGTAATCCAGAAGAGCACAGGCAGGGCTGTGGGATTCCCAGAGCAAATATAAAGTGCACCTTCCCAGCTCCATGTGCTGTTGTCTCATTCCTTCTGAACGCCCTGTCTGGGTTTTGACAAGGAGACTGACAGGAACTGCTGGATTTTCATGCTAATGTTTCATCAGGAAAAAAGCATACATGTCACCTCACCAGTTCATTAACAATCCATTTTATTACAGCTTGGCAGGCAAATTCCTCCTGAAATAAAATCTGCTGCTTTGTGGGGTTTTTTTTTTGGATCTGAACGTGCCAGGGTGGCACATCAAGAGGTGAAAACAGAATTTAAAGACTTTGTCTCAGTTTCACAGAATCATCACTGAGCAGTCACAGATCCACTTCATTCTTCATTCCCTTCAGCCATCAAGTTCCAGAAGGAAAACGTTTAAATCACAATAAGCACATGGCAGTTCACACTCGGGGAACCACACACAGCAAGAACTTGGGCTCTCCCCCTAAACACCAGCCAAAAATGTCCCACTGTACCTGCCTGACTTCCACGAGGATGCCAGTGGGTAGCACAGGTAAAACAGATTAAGCAGGGCATGCCAGGAGGAAATAAAACTGGGGAGGGGGGGGAAAGAGGGGGAACAGGAGAACTGTCTCCAACCTGTATTTCCAGGCTCGCCTGCAAAGCCCAGCTGCTAAAAGGGCTTAAATATTAACAGTGATTTCAAGAAAGCAACACCAAGTTGATTCCACAGCCCCCCCAAGCAGTGACTGCTTAGTCCACTCCCCGATTTACAGGGTTACAAGGCAACAATTCCAACCCCACCCACGTTTTCCCAAAGGAATGGCCAACCAAGCTGTCATTCCCCTTGGGACTGCCCAGGGAAATGTACACTTTGGGGTCCCAACAACCAGAGGTGCCATGGATGTATCTGGAATAAGCAGAGCTCACTGGACAAAGGAGGTCAAGAACAAGGGAGACAATTGTGCTGGATTCAGTCCTTGGAATGAAAAGCCCAAGTGCCTTTCATGGCTTCCACTACAAAGAGACCCATCATTAGACCTCATTTTTGTCAGCTCCTACAA